TTGTGCCTGATCTATGAAACCTGGAGGTAGCAATGACCACAGCCTCTCCCTGGGTCCCAGAGACCCCAGGTTCTGGTTACTCAACTCTATTCTGGAAGGATGAAGGCGGGGGGGGGGGGCTCCCTGTGCCCCCTCCCCTGCACTGCTAAGGCGCCCACCTGTCAGACCCTTTAAAAAGCCCCCTGGGCCCCAGGTGAGGGGCCTCCCCTCAGCTCGGTAGGGGGAGCTGGAAAGAGATAAGTAGCTTATCTGAGGTCACAGAGACCTCAAACAGGAACCCCGAAGCCCCCGCACGCCCCACACCCAGCCCCACAGCCCAGTCCTCACTGGAAGGTGCCGTCTCGAGTGATGGATCCCTGCGGCCCCACCTGGACGTCAGGGTCAGACACCAGCTGGTTCTCATAGATGAGCTGGTCACCAACCACCTGTGGGGGAGGCGGCTGGGTGAGGCCCTGGGGCGGGAGGCCCCGGCCCCAGAGGCCCCGGAGGCCCCGGCCAGCCCCTACCTGGAGTGTGGTGCCGCAGTGGGTGAGAGGAAAGCGGAAGGCCACGAACGACCCAGTCTCCTGGGCCCGGGCGCAGCCTCGGGGCGCGAAGGCCAGGCGGATGTTGTCCAGCGAGACCCTGTGGGCCAGCGCCGTTTCCTGGGACACCACCAGGACCACGTAGCCACTTCTGAAGCACTGGACAGTCACTGGGGCAAAGGCAGACCAAAGAGGCAGAGCAGGGCTTGGGGTTCAGCATCCATGCGCCAGGGGAGGTTTAAGTGTTGACCTCAGTGCTGAGACTGGAATTCCCATCCTCTACTTGCTGGAACAAACCCTTTAGGGATCTGGTGGCTTCCTATGCTTGGGACTAAAATAGTTGAGCTAGGACAGACCTAGTTATCCAAAGTGGGGACTTCTAGGCTTAAAGGTCGGGGCCTCTGGTAGGGGGGTGGGCAGACAGTGCTGGGGCTAGAGCTGGGCCATGTGGGCAACCTGTGCACATGCCTCCGGTGCAGCCTGTCCTGCAGAGCTCCCCGGGCACAGGTGTGAAGTGGCTTCAGCGTGGAGGGGGTGGGAGGAAGCACCCTATAGCTTCAGGCTTCTGGGGAACGGGACCCAGTTTGGTGTACAAGCTGTACCTGTGTTGCCGTAGTAACAGGGCATCTCCCTGCTCTTGTCATAGCAGCAGCCGGCCTGCTGACAGGCTGCCTTTGAACTTCTCACTTGGCAGGGGATGTGCCCAGAGGCCACCTGGCACTGGTCCGGGGTCAGGTGGGTACCTGGGTTTGGCAATAGTGTGGCGAGGACATAGGTGGAGCCCAGCGGGCAGCAGCTCTCCGGGGAGAAAGAGGCAGGTGGCCTCAGCCCAGCAGAGGCCTTTCAGGCTGCCCCTCCCCCTCACGCCCCTCCCCCACAGGTCCCGGACACAGGTGTGCGTGGAAGCCCCACCTACCTGCGTAGGCTGGGCTGTCCCCTTCCCAGAGTTCCCAGGTGCTCCACTGGGGCTGAGTCGGAGTGGGGTAGGTGGGGGCAGCTCCGGGGGATGGCGAGGCCGGCTGCGGGACACTGAGCTCTGGGTATGGCGGGCTGGGCAAGGTGCGGTGAGAGGCAGGGTGGAGGGACTGAGCAGAAGGGGTAGAAAGTGAGGACGTGGCCAGCGGTGCAGAAGGGGTAGAGAGTGAGGACGTGGCCAGCGGTGCAGAAGGGGTAGAGAGTGAGGACGTGGCCAGCGGTGCAGAAGGGGTAGAGAGTGAGGACGTGGCCAGCGGTGCCTGGCGGGGGCCCGGCATGGAGGTGAGGTCAGCCTGGGGGCAGGTCATAGTGACGTCTCTGGTTGCAGCTACACGACCACTGGGCAGAAGGACTTCTATGGACACCCTCAGGTGGAAGCGGCCTTCCTAGGGGTGAGAGGGGGTAGGAGAGCGGCAGGTGTGGTCACCTGTATCCCGGCAGAGGAGAGGGCGGCCAGAGCCAGCTGGGCTGGGGCTGGGTTGGGGGCAGGTCCCAGGGCGTACCTGGGCGCTCGGTTCCTACTCTTTCTGACCTTTGGGGTGTCTCTCTAGCCTGACAATAAGGTGCTCCCCAGCCAGGGACACCCCCCAGCACGTCTACCTTTTCCAGCACGTGGCAGCCTTTGTATTCAGCAGAGAGGACTGTAGGCCCCTGGGGCGTGGAGGTGACCCAGTGGTAACAGATGGAGCAGTTGTTCACCTCGAATAGGTTCCCAAATTCATCTGGGTGAGGAAGGGGAGAGAGTCCATGGGAGGGGTCAGGGACTCCGCCCGAAGTGGCTGAGAAGACCCCTGCGCGGAGGGAGGGTTCGGCCGCGTGGCTGTGCGGCCCAGCAAGCCCCTCTGCCCCTGCTCAGGCCCCCGTGAGGGGAGGGGCTGTAACTGGGCTCAGGTGCCGGCCAGCTCCAGGTCCCTGTTGAGGGCGCCCAGCCGCGGGCATGAGCGGAAATTTGAAGATGGAGCAAAGAGGAGCGGGGACCGCAGGCCCCAGCCCAGTGTTCTACACCAGCTTTGAGACTTGGTGACCACATTGACCGGCAAGGCGCAGAGGCCACGGCAGAGTGAGCGTCTCAGCCCCTGCCATGGGGGCAGCACAAGGATTCAAGCCTGGGACTTGCGAGAAGAGCGACTGAGCTTTTTGCCAGGTGAACTGGTGGTTGTGGTCACTTGCAGGCACCTGCCAAGCTTCACTCACTGCCTCAGCCCAGCGGGGCCCGGACACCCGGCCCAGCACACCCAAGTCTTACAGCTCCGGAAACGCGGGCCCAGAGACGTCAGGTCAGCTGTTCAACGTCACGCAGCTCACAAGCCGCCGAGTCAGAGCCTGCTCCAGACCCACAGCCACTCCCCCACCGCACACCTCAGCCCGGTCCCTGCCGCTCGGGCACTCTGCGGGCGCAGCCTGGACGCCCACGGGCTGGTTACAGACGCAGAGGCCGGGCCCAACCCAGTGGACCGTGGCCGGGGACCCCTGCGTGCTCCTTGGGTGACCTCCCTGGAGACGGGGTCTGCAAGGCACCTGCCCCCCACCCACTGCACCCTGAGAGCGCGGCCTCTGCTCTCCCTGGCCCCACTGCTGGGGCACAGTCCAGGGAGGTGGACGCGTCCCGGCTCAGCCCCACTCACCCATGGCCTTGAAGTGGACGGTGCGGCCTGGTGGGGGGTACACCAGCAGCTGCATGCCCCTGGACCCGCAGTCATAGCGGTAGCGGAGGCGGGGGGGCCCGGGCTTGGAGTGCGGCTGCTGACCTTGCCCCAGGGTGGCTGCCGGCAGCAGCAACAACAGAGCCACACAGTGACCCCAGGCCATGACCTGGCTCCGGCCCTCAGCTGCAGCAGCGTAGACCCACGGCAGCCCCCGCAGGGCTGGGGCGCAGCCCTTATATGGGGGAGGAGCAAGTGGGAGCTTCCAAGGGCTAAGGGCCCCCACCTGGAGGAGCTGCTGGCCCAGGGACGCTGGTGAAATTCCTCCCCTGAAGGCTGGGGAAGGCCCCTCCCAGCCCCAGCCCCAGCCCGGCCTCTCCGCTACCCCTCACCCTGGCTGGCTGCGCAGCTGGGGTCGGTGCTGGCTGAGCTGAGTGGTTCTGGCTGGGGCTTTGGGAGAAGGTGAGGCAGCAGGAGGGTCCTGGGCTGGGCTCAAGGTCAGAGGCCATTGTCTGTGGAGTGGGCCCTGGGGCCACTGGGAACTGCAGGGATGGGGTGGAGGAAGGCTGGACAGGGGGACTTGACAGGGAGACTTACCCCCCAACCAGGGCTTTGCAGGCCCCCAGAGCAAGCTGGGGGGCCCTCCTGCCCTAAGAGAACGCAGGGAGAGGGGCTGGGTCATAGCCACCCATGGCCTCGCAGGGCATCGACCTCTCCTGGGGTTAAGGCAATTAGTAAGGCCGCGGCTGCTTCTAATAAGTAAAAGAGCGCTAGTGGCAGGGAGTTGCATGGTGGCGTCCTGGATGGGACCCTGGAACAGGCAGACAACAGCGTCAGCACTGGATCACTCTGAAGGACACACCGGGTAACATAAGATGTCAACTGGGGTGGGGTGGCCAGCTGGCTGTGTGGGTTATCTCAAATCTTTATTTTTTTTGAGAATGTGTTTTCCTTTTCTCCTTTCATTTTTATTTCTCAGGGTTTTCCCTCTTTCAAAAGTTGGGTTTTGGTTTTATTCCTGCCCCCTCAGCTTCCTGTCAATCTAGAACAGTTCTAAGTAATAAAGTCCACGAAGAGCAGCTGTGGCAGGGGCTGGGGAGCTCATCAGCCCACGGGGAGGCCCCAGGAAGGGCAGCGGTGCCGTGTGGTGGCGGCTGGGCAGAGGCTTCCACTGGGACCCAGCTGAGATGCACAGGGGGGTCCCGGGGTGGCTCTCTCTGGCTGCTGGGCAGGTTGAGATCAGGTGCTGCAGGTGGGGTGAGGCTTGTTGAGAGGTACGTGAGCAATGAGCAGCAATGCAGAACGGCTGCGTGCTCAGGGGCTGGGGTGTGCATGGGGGACGTTGTGTTGAGGCAGGGGAGCTGGGGGGAGACAAGGGTAGAGAGAGGCCCCTGAAACCAGGGGGTCAGGCTGGTGGGGGCTGGATGCTGGAGAGGGGCAGAGGGGGGAGGACAGGGCAGGGCGGGGCGGGCTGATCGGCAGGCAGGGGAGGGCCAGAGAGGGCACTCTGGTGGGAAAAAGGGGGTCTTCAACTTTTTGTTTTGAAATTGTGTCAGATTTACTGAAAGAATTTTCAGACATCCTTCACCCCTATATTGTTCTTCAAATATTAACATTACTTTTTTTTTTTTTACATTTTGGGGTTCTCTCTGTGTATGTACTGAAGGCTGAGCTGTTTCCCAAAAGCCAATCTGATCCAAGGTTGGCCATGCTCCCCTTGGCCCCCCCCGAACCCCCATTCTCTGGCTCTCAGGCCCCTGGCAGTTCTGAGACATGCAGGGACAATGGTCTGGCATTGGGCTTGGCTGGTGTTTCCTGGGGAGCCCCGGGGGGAGCCCCGGTTATGCGGAGTGTGCGGGCACACCACAGCCCGGGCGCTCACCCAGCACGCTGTTATCTTCTCACAACTCTGGAGCTTGGAAGTCCAAGGTCAAGGTGCTGGTCTGCTCCTTCTGAGGCCCCTTCTTTGCTTGCAGATGGCACCCCCAAGTCACTGTCTTCACACAGTCCCATTCGGACATACTGGGGCTGACATGGTCATGGGGAGGGGACTCCGTCCCCCCGGCAGAGGGGGGTTCCCACAACGAGGTGTCCTTCTAGCTCATTCTAGGCTCTTCTGACCACCTTGTCCTCTTACTGCTGACCCACCTCAGGCGGCATGGGTAGGGTGGGGTTGGTGGTCGCTCCCCTAGAAGTTTTTCTTTGTGGTTGGTATGTATCTTACAGGGGAGGGGGGAGTCACTCTGAGATTATGCAATCCTCAGGCCCCTCAGCAAACATCCCCCCAATCCCATCACTTCTTTATCCCTGGATGGGCTTTTTACTACGCAAAAACTTTCCTTGGTGGGGTAGGTTTAAACAATGAGGAGCCGGGAAACCTGGTTCTCTCTGGTGCTCCCTGCTCAAGAGCAGGGGTCCCCATCTGCATGGTGGGGGAAGCATGATGATGCTGGGGGTGCAACCAGAAAATACCCATGTTGGGGGTAAAGGATGTCCTGAAGGAACTCTGCAGAGTTTTGTGGACTCCACCCCCTACTCCAGTCACTGAAACTACAACTCCCAGTAATGGGGAAAACTGTGAGGACATAAGGGTGGAGCGAAGCAGGGGTATCTATCTATCTACCTATATATATAGAGAGAGAGAGAGAGAAAGAGGAGCCATGTGGAGCTGAGGGTGACTCTCTCTCTCTGTCCCTTGGCCTTGTGGCTGGTCGCTCGGCTCTTGACCAGCTTTCACTGTGCTATCGGGGTTCCAAGTCAGCAGAACTGGTAGGGTGCTCTAGTCAACTTGTAACTCGCTCTTGCTTTCTCTGGATTGTTCCTTTCCCTTCGTAAATAGGCCCACCGTTGACCCTCTTTGTGTGTGCCTGCAGTACAATTGAATTTTAAGCACACAGGTGAGGACCCACAGACAGGCAACCCAGTTCACATTGGGGTGCCCTGGAACATCCAGAGAGGAGGTTTCTAACTGACTGTGGACTTGGCTATGAGAAAAGCCAGCGTCCCAGAGGAAGGGTCAGTGGGCTTCCCCTGGCCTGGGCAGAAGGATGCCTGAAGCCCCCGAGGATGTGAGTCTGGCCCTTGGCTTTGATCTCTCCTGGAGGCTCGTGGGAAGCTGGGCTTGGCCCTGGGGTGGAGCCCAGCCCCTCTGCTCACCTGCAGAAAAGTTCCTCACTGTGGGGTGGGGCATGGCTTCCTCGCCTGTATGGTGGGCTGGTGGCCGAGTTGGCCTGCTGTGAGCACAGCCTGCCTGGCTTCTCTGAACACATGCAGTGACAGTGCCCCCCTTTCACCCACAGACTGAGGCTTGACCACGGTTCCTGCCGGCTGCCTTCTAAGCCTGGGGCGGTTCATCTCGCTCTTAGGTTTTCATATAGAAAAACTGGATCTCAGTTTCTCCATCTGTACAATGGGATAAAATGAGACCAACCGTCCTGGGGAGACGTGAGGCTTAAGCGCTCGGTGTTAGACTTCTCTGTTTTGTTGTACCTGAATCCCCACCATTTTGTAGCAACGCCCCCCCCACCCCCGACTGAACACGAAGAGTAAACAGAATAAAATTCTAACGGCCCTTCGGAGTCTTCCCCACCTCTCCTTTTGACTAACCTTTACCTTGAAAGTGTTTCTCTCCCGTCAGTCGCATTCCCAGAAACTTGGAAAACGGATGACGTCACATCTCTGCAAAAATTCTCTGCGTGTCTTTGCTGTAACATCAAAAACAAACATCTGTGAGGGTGATGGGCCGGAGGAGAGACTCGGGCAGGGAGGGGGGATCCCCGGCCTCCTGCCTTTTGGGGAACCAGGTTTTAGGGTTCTAACCCCGCCGACTCCCTTGGTGGCCACCTGGAGTAAACATGCTTTGTGAAGGGCTTCCTGTGGCTCTGAGTTTCCTGTGGCTCTGAGTTTGGCTTTCTGGGAAGCCAGCCAAGGCGCAGCTTGGTGGCTGACGGGCCAGGCGGGGTGGGGAGGGCACTGGGGGCCGAGAGGAAGGGTTGGGGGCCTTTCCAGGCGGGGCTTTGATACTGCGGCCCAAGATAAGGAGTTTATGTTTGGTTTCTGGGCTGGCACTGGCACAGAGCTGCGAGAACCCCTCCCCTCCCCTGGGGTGGCAGCAAGAAAGGTGCTTTTCATAGGTGGCTGCTTTTGAGGAGCACCTAAGCTAGGGGTCACTGCCGCAGACCATGTGGTCAGAGGGCTGGAATTTTCTGTTTTCGACTGTCCCTTTCCCTGACCTTGGAGGGGGAGGCAGAGGGCTGGAGGGTCAGTTCAGTCCCCAGAGGTCAAGGATTTAATGTCCCTCTGAGGTCTGAGGGCTTTGTAAAAGCCCCAGCCGGATGGAGGGCAGGGAGCTTCAGGCTGGGAACATGTGGAGTCTGGGGCTCTTCCACACGCCTGCCTGC